GACCAAAAACGCTTAGAAACTACCCGACATTCAAGACTGGTTGGTCGAGGTTATGTGCACCGGGGGATAGTACCAAGTGCAAACAGCGACGATGAAGTAAACCAGCACACAAAGAGCACCTTCAAGGTAATTGGACTTGCCATCACGCAAGAAATTCCCAACGACTAGAATCGAAAGCACGAGAAGGACAACCATGAAGATCTCGAAGTTCAAGCTCATATTCTTGCCCATACCCCAACCAACAATGACAGTAAGCGGTGCGTTCAGCAGTGCTGTTTGGATCGAAGGAGCTAGGCAGTGGAAGAGTGCAAAGTTGATCTGGTTGTCCCAGGCTTCATCGATGGCTGTAAGATGCTCAGCGGCCTTTTCCACCAGAGGGACGAGAATTAAACCGAGGAAATTATCTGAGACGCCGCGCTCAACGATGTACTCGATTTCTTGGACTAGGAAGACAGCGGACATGCAGACGCAGGTCAGTGCAACGGCGATGACAAGGAAGCATTCTATCATTGTAAGCTTTGCCCTCGCGGCTTCTTCGTGTCGGTCTTCGTCGCGGTGTTCGTCTTTCTCTAGGATATCATCGAAAATGGAGTTGTGACTGTGTAGGTTGAAAAAAAGATATCTATCCCAGAGTGTTAGTGGTTAAATAATAGGCAAGAGCCTAGGCCACTCACGCCAAAAACGCTACGAGAAGGATCACCGCAGTGGCACGGCTAATCGTCAAGGCATATTCGTTCAACTGCACCAGAGTAAACTGTGCATTGACGCTTCCACGCAACGTGGAGTAGAACGCACTTGGAATCAACAGACCGAAACCGGCGACAAGGAGCAACCCAGTACCGACTTCACTAATGGCTTCGTGGAAGGTCTGCTCATGACGCTTGATACCGCCGACGAAGAAACACATACCCAAGCAAAGCAGGAGATTTGCCATGATTGAACCAAGAATAGCGGCCTGGATGACAGGAATCAGATCCGAGTTTTCGGTCCGGCCATGGTTATACAACAAAACCATAAATAGCACGAGTTCCACCACAGCGCCCAAAGTTGTTTCCACAATGATGCCTATCATCTTTGGTAACTTTTTAGCTAGCTCCCCGCCAGCAAAGCCGAGCAGGTTTGCCGAGGGCACCATGGCGATATAATTGAGACTGAAGATCCAGACGTGAAGATCGGGTCGCGCGAAATGAATGACAATTGCGGCGGGGACAAATGGCCAGAGGATATTCACGACCATCGAGAGCGTACAGACACTCCTAAAGCATACCTTGAGGAGATGCCATGGTTGAATGCCGCTTCGACCGCTCTCTCCAGCTGTGTCCACGCGAAATAAGGCCCATGCTCGCTTGGAAGTGGTAGAGTTGGTGGGCAATATCGAGTTCTGGGAGCCCTTCTCCTGGACCGTCTTCGGCTGTTCACTGTTCCCACGGAGACGGGGGTCGGCGTTCTGTGAATGTGTCGACCTGATTGAGCCCATTTTTAACCAACAACAACTCCGTATAGATTGGAGAGATCGGAGAGCTCGGGGGGAGTTGGATGAAGTACACGCAAGATATCAGACCGTGAGACAAAATCAAATTAGGGATGGACCAAACTCGGTAAATGCTAGAAGAAAACACGCTGAAATAGACAAAAAGAAGAAAACAAAAATGCAAGATGGGCTGGGGACTGCAAAGACTATACAGCGCCTGGGCCGCAATACAATATGGAGGACGGAGCATAAAGGAGGCAAATAAAAACAACAGTCGGATGCGCTGGCACTTGACAGAGCCAATCAGCCCCCGAGTCTTTCAATATGGATAGCCAGGGGGTCTTGGCGCAGCCACGATGTGTTCCATGATGCCTTCCCCGTGAAGATCGCCGTATCCCGTGTCGCGATTTGACTAGAGAAGAAGAGGAAATAAAATAAAACAATGAATTGACGACGAACTCAGTTGTACTGCCATACTATACTCGGCTTCCTGGACATACTCGCTCTCTTGTCCAGATTATTGGCGTTCTGTGTAATATTCGTATTCAGTCCTTTTGTCTCTCAGGGGATGAATTGTCATTTGAGTGTGGGGAATGGCCATTTTTCTGCACAGCCACGGCCTTGGCTTTGTAAAAGCGTCGTATTTAAGCGCGAATAATCTAGTCAAGTATGGACAGTTTGTATGGAATCGGGCAATGATATGCGTGCTGTGGGAGCTTGTTGAGCTTGATCTATCAACATGACCCTTTAGGTGATTATTAGCCAATCAACCATTGGTGGTGGGTAGAGATCGCCCTAGCTCTTAAGGTTGGCCAAGCAGGAGTTAGCAGGAGTAATAGGTTTTTAGCGAGAGTTAGTGAGACCAGTGGATATCTGTTTTGGAGGTTGTCAAAGAGAGAAAGTTGGTGAACTCCCGAAGTCGAGGAGTAGACTGACAAATACCGCCTCGTCATGTGTTTGGTCTTTTTCAATGTCTTTTTCAATTACGGAGTACAGTATATATGTTTTTTTCAATAGATATTCTCCCTAGTGTTCGCCTCAACTGCACTCTTGATGTAATGTTATAATACTAATACATATCTAGTATGTAGTCTGAATTACAGTCTGATCCTTTTGATGTTAGGCTTAGGGGTTTATAGAAATAATCCCCCTGGACTTTTTAATGTATACCATTGACATTGTATGAGCTATTGGTAAATAGATCAACCCATCAGCTAATACCTATATATAACACACACCAACCTATAAACCTATAACCTATGACCTTATAACACTCAATATCAAAAGTAAACAAAGTCCATAGATATATGGGCCCACATAGAGAAAGCCGGCTACCATCGGGCGGGGCACAAAAGTCGATGGCGAAATCTTGGACTTGTGAACTTCTTCTTTGCTACATTCTCTCTATCACAACTCATACATCATGGCTTCTACCACTACCCCCGGCGCCCCGCCGGTCACTTTGGACACTATCACCCAGCAGATCGGCAACACACCCCTTGTACGGCTGAACCATCTGCCCCGCACCCTGGGAATCGATGCTACTGTCTACGCCAAGTTGGAGTACTTCAATGCCGGCGGCAGTGTTAAGGATCGAATTGCCCTACGTATGATTGAAGAGGCTGAGCGAACTGGTCGCATCAAGCCTGGTGATACTCTCATTGAACCCACCAGTGGCAACACGTAGGTCTTTTCCTTCCTTCTCTTTCGCTTCGAGCGGTCATGGGCGCGGACGCTAATTGAGATTCATTAGTGGTATTGGTCTGGCACTGGTTGCTGCCGTCAAGGGTATGTTCTTATTGTCTAGGCTTTACTTGTCAGATCCGTCTTAATTGTGTCCATTCTTTCTCTACTCAGGCTACAAGACCATCATCACTCTCCCAGAGAAGATGTCCGCCGAGAAAGTCGCTGTCCTGCGTGCCTTGAATGCGACTATCATCCGAACCCCCAACGAAGCCGCCTTTGACTCGCCTGAATCGCATATCGGCGTCGCTAGACGCCTCGAGAAAGAATTGCCCAACGCCCACATCTTGGATCAGTACGAGAACCCGAACAACCCCTTGGCACACGAGCTTGGCACTGCCGAGGAAATCTGGACCCAGACCAATGGTAAAATCAATGCTATTGTCGCTGGTGCTGGAACCGGTGGTACAATCACCGGTCTTGCTCGTGGCCTGCGGAAGCACAACCCCGATATTGACGTGATCGCCGCCGATCCATATGGTTCTATTCTCGCTCTGCCTCCCTCCCTCAACGAAGCTCGTGCCAATGAGCCTTACAAGGTTGAGGGTATTGGATACGATTTCATCCCCGAGGTTTTGGACCAAAATGCCGTTACCCATTGGATCAAGACTGAAGATAAGGAGTCTTTCAAGTACTCCCGGCGTCTGATCGCCGAGGAGGGTCTGCTGGTCGGCGGTAGCAGTGGTAGTGCCATTGCGGCTCTGGTCAAGGCTAACGAGGCCAAAAAGTTCTCCAAGGACGATGTCATCGTTGTGATTCTTCCCGACAGCATCAGAAGTTACCTCTCCAAGGTCGGAACAATTTTTTTCCTGATTGATCTTCCATTCAAGCTAACCGATTCAAGTTCGCCGATGACGACTGGCTCGCCGCCAACGATCTACTCCCGTCGCTTCCCGCCGTTGCGTCGACAACTCAAACTCATGTGCCTGTGTCTGACCCTTTGGCCAATGCCAAGGTCAGCGCCTTGCGCTTGAAGCCCATCACCACCGTGACAGCCAACTCCCCTTGCGAGACTGCCATCGAGGTCATGCGCGACCGAGGCTTTGATCAGCTTCCAGTCCTTGCCCCCTCCGGACGTAAGCTCGTCGGTCTGGTCACGCTGGGCAACGTTCTCAGCCGACTGACGCACGGCCGGGCCTCAGGCCAGAGCCCCGTCTCTGAGGTCATGTTTGACTTCTCAAAAATTTCCGAGGTAGTCACCGACCCCCGTGATTTCTCCAAGGCCCTAGACTCCTTCAAGCCTCAGACCCGGAGTCGTGGCTTCATCGAGATCACCATGGATACCCCTCTCAGCGTCCTGAACCGCTTCTTCGAGTGGAATAGCGCTGCAGTTGTGACCGAGAAGGACGAAAGTGGTGCGATGAAGCCATTGGCCATCGTTACCAAGGTCGACCTGCTCACTTGGATGCTGCACCAGTCCAAGACGGACAAGGCCTAAAATGTTTCCTTTGTTTATTTTCTGAAATGCATTCGCATGAGACATTGCTTGTTGGGTAGGGGTTCAACATTCCTGACCATTGATATCTGGGAACAGGCGTTTCTGTTGCGTTGGCATGAAGGCTCCCCAATGGGATTCAACACATTGTGGGATTGAAATACCTAGATCGTGCAGCGCAGAGACTGGCGTTTAATGTGATCAATACTTAATGCACGCCATAGAGAATATATACATGGTCCTTTTTCAAGTCTGTTCGGTTTAGGTGGCGATGACGTCGACTCAGATCAGAGATGTATGTGCGACTTCATCTGGGGATCCTCTCGACTTTGTCGATTCCACCCCCCAAAGATGACAGGAATATTTACTTATCGGAACTTCTCCCTGGGAGACATACCGCCGTTAAATGGACGGGTGGCTGTAGTGACAGTGAGTCCTCTCGTTATATCTCGGCCCAGCAACTAATTTCCCCAGGGTGGCCAAGCGGGCATTGGAAAAGGTAAGCAGATTCCTTGACCTCTAGCCAGTTGAATATCCTGCAGGGTATAATAACGAGAATACAGAGATCACAACTCAGCTTCTCTTGCACGAGATAGAGAAAGTAATCATCGTTGCCAGAAGTGAAGACAGATACATCACTGCTCGTGAGGAATGGAGGCACCGCAAAGGCCTCTCCCTGGAGAATGACAGTCGAGCTGAATTTGTCAAATGTGATCTGGGCGATATTCAGGATGTCAAGGCCGCGATTGAGAAGATAAAACAAGTCACAGATCTCATATACTGGTTTGCAATGCAGGTGATTTCTCTCTCTATCTCTCCATCTCGACTGAATCATTACATATTAACCTACCTCCCTAAAATGAAGCCATCAGTGTTCAAAGTGATAACAAGCGTTCATCTCAGAATATCGAGCGTGTATTCGCGACAAACTGCGTCGGACACCAAGTCCTAGCCACATTACTCCTACCACTGTTGAAGAACAGCGTGACGCCTAGCAACGACGTACGAATTGTCGTGACCAGCTCATCGTTCCATTGTTAGTGCCAGAAGCTCGATCTGGATCTTCTATTCTCATCGTCACGCGTCAAGTGGTCCGCCTTGTACGATGGAGTATGGCGGTATGGCCGATCAAAGTTGGGTAATATCCTCTTTGCCAAAGAGCTCAGTCGGCGACTTCAGGAGGATCAAGATCCAGCGAGCAAGCAGATCTATGTCAATTCGTTCTTTCCGGGCAATATCGTCACTGATCAATGGCTCGGGTGGGAGTTTTATTTTGGGAGATTCCTGGGTTGGCTTATAAGAACGGCAGGATCGTGGCTGGGTCAAAGTCTGGAGGATGGTGCTGCCACGAGCTTATATCTTGCGACTAGTCGAGAGGTGCAGGAGCAAAATCATCGCGGTCGGTATTTTATACCTATCGCCACGCAGTGTGAGCCCAGCGCGATATCTGGAAATATGAAGCTTGCTCGAGATTTGTGGGTGAGTGCTATGTTTTCTTCACGCCGTTATATTATATCATTGACCATACAGGATTGGATTGATGCCCAAGCTACCGAGACACTAGGATTAGATTGGCAATATCAATAGAAAAAGCACATTGTAGTCTAGAATCTTCTCAGTGCAACTTTCCTTTTTCTGGCATAACATATACAAGTAAACTATGATAGGACCACCTATTTACTATTCCAGACCATCAAGACAAGAAAGCAAAAAGTCATCTCGCTCACAAGCACATACCAACCCACTCCTCCCAGCGGCGCACTCCAGATCCGAACTCTTCTTGTGAGTCACCCTTGACAGCACCACCAACCACTTCAACCTTGACACCGACCTCATGCTCCAGAAGCTTGAAGCTGAAAGTCTCCTGTTCATCATTACCCAAAATTTCCTCCTCTTCATCTTCCAACCCAGTATCCGCACTTGCATCCAGAAGACCCTTAGTCTTCGACGTGCGGATGCGATCAATCTCCGCTTCCAGCTTTTCCCTCACTGCGCCCGGCGGCAATGCAGTGAATAGATCCTGCTTGTTCGCGGCGACTAAGACAGGGACATCAGTGGTTCGCTTGCTAGATGATCCGTTCTTTGCGCGCTTCTGGAGAAAGAGGAGAACGTCGTGAAGATAGGTTGCGGTGTCACGGAGCGTTGCTTCGTCAACTAGAGCTGCGGTATCGACCATGAACACCACACCGCGTAGCCTTGTCTTGATATCCTTTGACCGGGACATGGTCTGGAGCTCGGAGATTCCTTGCGATACGCGGAGCTTGCCATGGCCAGGGGTATCCCTTATGCGGTACTTGATTGGATTCCGGACGGCCTCCTTCAAGGAGGGATCGTTCACTGATCGGTAGCGGTTGGATCCGGTTGGGACAGTCGGTGGTAAGGTCACGGTTACTAAGGTTGATTGTTGGGAGGTGTGGGTGCTATGTGACTTGTTTGAAGCAAGCGAGGACTTGGCCTCGAGCTATAAATTGGTTAGCGAGAACTTAGCCACTCTCAGGTCATAGACTGCAACCTACCAAGGTCGTAAAAGCAGTTTTACCAGCTCCACTGGGGCCTAGGAGTAGGAAATTACTCGAGGGCGGAGAAGCTACGGTCTGGAAGAAGAAGATATGCAGTGCGATCGGGACACCAAAGGTGAATAGGACAGCGATAGCAATGGCGACAAGGTTGCCATCGAACAATAGTGTAGCTATGCCAGTCACCGAGTTCCAATTTGCTTGAGACGACATCCTGTCGGTTATAAGTTTGGAAGTTGTCAAAAGTTGTGGGCTGACACCTTGACAGGAGAAGCCCGATAGCACGGACCCATCCACTTATCTTAATGCACATCACGGGTCTATAGAAAACCCTCGAGGGCTCAAGGGCCTTAGGAATGATGCACATACCAGGCCACCCTATGAAGGGGTGATTTCCCTCTCTCTTGACTGGGAGATAACTCTCTGTTCTTTCGAGACTTGTGCTTCTCAATCATATCAGCCATGAGAGTCCAATTACTTCAGGTCGCCCTGTTATTCACGGCCGTCTATGGCCAGATCAGTTCTCAGATCACAACATATGATCTGAGTTTCGACGGTGCAGCTGCCGTGAGTCTGCTTTGGGGCTTAGATGGCGAACCAACTTCAACTTATAATTTTTATCTCTGTGCCGGTGATGAGACGACGGGTTCATATGTATGTTTCTCTCTATACGGAACTGCAAAACATAGAGCTAACCACACATCTAGGACACTCTATCGCAAGTTATCAACAATGGCGCCTATGCTCCTGGTGACATGGTGTCATTTCATGTCGATCAAAGTGTCGGTGGGAATGAATTCAATGCATAGTAAGACTATTTATTTCCCTGACATCGGCGGCTTCATCAATTCGCTTTGTGACTGACCAATGTCCCTGGGGCCCAATCAGCTTTCTCAAGATAGTTCTATCAGGCCCTCATAACTACTGGTCCGGGTTCACCTCTCATTTCACTTTGACCAACATGAAAGGTACATTCTCGACCAAAGTAACAAATGCGATCAAGACGATGCAGCCAATTCCCGCCATCGTTATCTCCTGGCCTACAGTCAAAGACGATGACCACCTCATCGAGGCCGCAGATTTCACTTCAATTTCCAACTCCTCTATTCTCGCCAAGAGTTCCTCAACCGAAGCCACCTTGCAGTTCCCAACTTCAACCGCCAAGGGCGAAGCCGAGCACAATGAATTGCGCAAACGACAAGTGGCTGCTGTCGGCGGCGTTGGCGATGTTTCTGTAGTTGACCAGCATACCGTCCCATACGGTGAACAGACTGGCTCGATCAAATATGCCCCGATGCCTAAGAGCGCTGGGACTACTGTCGCCACCAGATCAGCCACTCCTCAATACCCGCCTTTCCCGTTCTCTATTGCAACCAGCTACTTAGGTGCGCCAACCATCCAGTACACGGATACAGCTTTTGCGACATGGACGGCGAACACCATCGAGAACACGGTGAGTTTGATTCTTGCTTGTTGTCGGTTGGGTTTGAAAGCTAATCCTCCGTTTTTGTTCAGGCTGCGCCCGCTCCTGCGCCCACATTGGACAAGAGAATGCAGAAGTGGTTGGACCGTTGGAATGATTGATAGGCTTTCAGGCATCTTGCCATTTTTGTTTTCTCGGATATCTTTACATGGCACTTGAATTGACGTATAAACATTCAATTTTCAAGTGCTTTCATTCATGCTGTTTTGGAGGTCATTTCATGCTTTTGGGGCCTTTAAATTGTCGGCCTATATATCCCGAGTAACTTTTATATTGAAACGATCAGGTTTGACTGGGAATATCGACCATCAATGCCTTTGAATGCAAGAAGATTCTCGCTTCTGTTCATAATATGCGTGTACCGGATGGGCCAACATTATGCCTCCGGGGACTTCCATTCCTCCAAGGCCGGTGTTAGTGACGGTGTCACGGTATGTTTGTGGTCCTCGGGGTGGAACGAGATGTTCTCTCGCATTGCCACACAGTCGCTATCGGCATAGCCAAGTAGCGTCTCAATCTGTGTGCTGCGGTGGCCCTTGATGTGTGTGATTTCAATACTTCCATAGTTAACCAGAGCGCGACCGACTTCCTTAGGTTCCTCTCTGTGGTGGATAAAATCGCCATTCAAGGCATCTGGGGATGGCCGATCAACAACCACTAGCCGCACAGATTCTTGCTGTCCAAAATGGCCTTCAACCCCGACGACTCCAGCCGGGAGAAGATTGGCATTATTCAAAAGTGCGTGGTAAGCTCCGTGGTCGATGTATAATGTACCATGTGGGTACAGTCCATGGAGTAGCCAGAATGTCCGTGATTGAATCGGGGTATCTGAACGGATGAATCGGGTATGTAGAGGGGCAGTGGGTGCCTCACTTTGGTCGTCAGCTGCTACGCCATTTGACCGAGCCTCGAGGTATTGTAGATATTTCACAATATCATGAACGTTGCCTGGTTTTGAGCTCTTGGTGATAACTGTAGTGACGCCAGCACTGGTTCCAAGCTTTGCAGCCACAATCTTCGTGCTCATACCTCCAGTGCCGAGAGAGGAGCCTGCCGATGAGACGTCAGCCTCGAGAGAGGATATATTGGTCACCACCTCGATGGGTTTTGCATCTGGGTTGGTTCGAGGGTTGGCTGAATAAAGACAGTCGACATCGGTCATTAAAAACAGATAGTCGGCCTTGATCATTGCCGCGGTAATTGCAGAAAGGGTATCGTTGTCGCCAAATTTGATTTCCTAAAAATGATTGGGTCAGATGCGAGATCGCGACTCGAAGGGGAACTTCCTTACAGAAACAGCCAGGGTATCATTTTCGTTGACAATAGGAATCACTCCCATATCAAACAACTGTCCGAATGTATTTTGCGCATTGACATATTGGGTTCTCTGTAATGAGTATCAGTGGAGGAACAGGGCTGGGCAGGTATAAGGGTACATACATCAGCAATATCATTTCTCGTCAACAGAATCTGAGCCACAGGGACACGAAGATGCGAGAATAGATTATCCCAAAGACTCATCAATCGACATTGGCCAACTGCAGCGAGAGCCTACAGATTTCATTAGCAACTTTTCCATTAGACATATTATATGGGCTTGTATTCCTGTAGAATCGAAGACATACTTGTATGCGTGGAAGATATGTTGGTCTTTTGTCTACATTCATCCTTCGCAGACCAACGCCCACGGCACCAGACGATACAAGGACAACCCGGTGGCCATCTCTGTGTAGCTTGGTCACCGTTTCGACGATCAATGTCAAGATCGAAAGTATGGGCTCGTGGGTTTTCTCGTCAACAATCGAACTCGTTCCTGATACATCGAGTGGTCAGTACTTGAGTCATCGGACAACAGATATAGATCCCCGCACCCAATTTGATCACGATTGTGAGGCTGGATGAGGTCACCATAGCGCAAATTCCAGTTCCAATAAAACTCCCAGTAACAAATAAACAAATAAGAAACAAACGAAAAGAATATAGAAAGGCCGGTTGTGTTGTGGGCCCCGCGGTGATGAATCACGGAAGAGCCCATTTTGCCAGATTCCGGCGCTGATTCTGCCGTACACTACCGCCATTTGCGGAGGATCTCGCTTTATCGCGCGGAGTGATGGGTGACTCTCCACAAGTCCACGATCGAAAATGACAGACTCCCAGTCGCCAGGTGCGGCTGCACCTTCCAATGGAAAGCCGGAAACTACAGGGTTTCTCCCCGGTGATGACACCTGGACCCAATTCCGCAATATCTATTCGATTCTCACGGGCAAGATGTCCAACGAAGGAATCGAGCAGTTCCGTGTTGCGCGAGACACTCGCAATGAAGAAGCAGACTGCAAGCGCTGTGAGGATCAGCGGGATTATCTTCTTCAATATAGTGAGTCCCTTGTCTAAGAGTTATCTAGCTGGATACTGACATGGTCGATTTATTAAGGCCCTACGATTCGATTCCTCAGCGAAAGCATTCAACAATTAGGAGGCGATCTTGACAATCATAACATCTACTGTCGTCGTTGCACTGATCGGAAGGGTGGTGGCTTCGATCCGGAATATGGAATCCTGATCTGCGCAAATGAGATGAAGGACCAGGG